CGTCAGAGTCCACAGGGTCTGCAGAGACTCCTAACAGCCTAGGCAGGGACCATTGGAGCCAGTGGGCTCTGGCTTCTCCCTCCTGCTTAGGCCCTTGTGGGTCGTGAGCTCCACCCACCCATCTGCCTGTTTCTAGGGAGCTGTGTGGGGCAATTCCTAAGAATCTCTGGCTAGGAACACCTAAGGAACTCCTGCTTCGCTGTGGAGCTCATGTTCCTCTTATTATTTACCCTTCCAAATCCGCTTTGAGTCTCACAGTGTTTCATTGCTACCTCCTCCAGAAAGCATTCCAGAAGCATGCCTTTCCCCTCTGGCTCTCTACGAACTGCGTGAATGCTCCAGGGGTGTGCACAGTGTTCCGGCTGATGGTGGGCAAAGTGAGCTCCATGCGAGTGCTGGTTCAGGTCCTTGACAGGAGAGGCCACTCTCACACCCTGATGTCCTCTGGGCACAAACACAGCCCTGACTATAGCTCAATCAGTCTTAGCTGGACATTCAACGGTGCTGGCAGCAAGGCACTGCCCACATCCCTCCCTGCCATCCACCAGGCCAACTGCTCTGGGTGAGGGAGGCTACTCAGCCCAGCCATGACCAACAAGGGTGTAAAGCCTGCCCTGTCCCTCTGGTTTGGGTCAACTTCAGACTGCCCACCAAGCCTGCACTAAAGCTCAACCTCTTCAAGGTAGCAATCGAAACACTGTGAAACTCAAAGCGGATTTGGAAGGGTATTTTGCCTCTTCTTCCCCAAGGAAAACTCCTGAGAAGCTAATGTCCACCCCAGATTCTGTTGTCTAGGGAACAGGGAGTTGACATTTCTTCAGTGCCTCCATTTGTTCATTTCCTAAAATGTAGACAGTGATGGCAGTGGGGAGAGAAGCTGAGAAAAGCCCCAGAGGTGAGGGACCCACTCACGGTGAACAGGAGCTCCAGGCCAGGACTGTAGCCCTTCGGTGAATCTGCTCTTCTGGGCTGCATGCTGGGGACAGCTTTGCGGGGAGGAAGATGAACCCTGGCTGACTTCCTTCCTTCTATCTCCAGCTGGGTGAGGGCAGACAGGGCACCCACAGCCATACTGCTCTTTAGGGAATGCTTGGAATACTCATTTATTGCATTTATATCATAAAATGCATAATTTTGCCTAAAACTTGCCAACATGTATTAGCTTCCAAAAATAAGTAAGTGGTTACCAGTTGTCCAAATTCTGAGAACATTCTTAAGAAGAAAAAGCTTTGAACTGTCTAAGACCTTAGCTTTTTTTCCCCTGTAAAACAGGGGAAAGACACCCACAAGTCAAATTTAATCACAGAGACCTTCAAAGCAGCCCATAGGAAGTGGGGGTAGAGCCCAGAGATGGCTGATGTAGAAGGAGCCCAGGGCCCTGGTAGCGGGGTGCAGAGCTTTCCAAGTTGATCTGGGAGAAGGAAAAATTGGGCCTGGTGCCTTAACCTTGGAAGGAGCACACAGCAAGGCCTCTTGGGTCCAGGCATACCCAGACATCACTGGGCAGCAGGCAAAGCCCCAGGCAGCACTGTAGACATTCCCACTGGACACTCAGCAGAGATGCTTGCTGGCACCTGGACTCCCTCTGCCCTGGAGTGCACTGGGGGGAGACCATTCTAGGTGCTTCACAAGAATGAGCTCTTTTAAATCTCTTAACCAGTGGACTGTTATGGCTGGGTCTCTAGGTGTCCCTCCAAAGTCTCCTGTGGTCATACGTGGGGCTTTTTGGAAGTGGCTACAACTAGAATTTGTGCTGCTGGGATCAAGGACATGATGCTGGGAGTGACTCATGGTGCGATGTTAAGATTAAGGGTGTGAGGATTACCTACCCTAAGGGTGGGTAGCCTGGGTAAAATATAAGGGACAGAAAGTGCCATGGTCAGGGCTTCTCTCTAGTTGCTTGTTTGCTTTTGCTGTCTTCTGCCTGCCATGAACTGTTTTTCCTCTGCAAAGTCCCTCTGTCTTTGAGCCAGCTAACTATGAAGTGAAACCTCTGTGAACTGTAAGCTAAATAAACCTTTCTTCCTTTAACTTGAGGGGCTGGGTATTTTGTCTTAGCAAAGAGAAAAATAACTAAGACATCCATTTAATAGAAGAAGAAATAGAGCATTCAAGGTCTGAAGTAATCTGCCAAGGTCCCAGAGCTGATGTGTAGTGAAGTTGGGGTTCCCACCCAGCCTCTAATTTCAGTTTCAGCCTCTAAACATTCACTGCTCCATGATGCAGCTCCTTAGTAGGCCCCTGACACACCCCAGGGGGAGATAAAGGCAGCAAGGACACACAGAAACACCAGAGAGAGCCAGCTGGGACTGGACCAGGGGTGGACTTCGATGGGGGCGAGGATTCTACATCCCACTTAGAGAAGCTCCTTTAGCCATGGGACCACACGATTCAGCTCCGGCTCCATGCCTGGGCTACCCAGAGTCTACAGCTATCAGAGACCAGCTCCGACTCTGTAGGAAGACAGAAGCCACAGACTCCTGCAAGCATTCTGAGGAGAGACAGAGGGACACCAGGGGAGCCAGCTGGCCACTTCTTTTCATGCAACCCAGGCCTAGATCAGAGGTATAATGCAGATGCCCCTTATCTACCAAAATTGATTCTGGTCAATCCCTTTGCTCCCCTTGTACCTGATGTGCTCAGGGAATGAGAGCCTTTCTCAGTGTGGCTTAAGCCCCCAATATTGGGAAGGTTACTGTGTACAGATGAAGTATTAACAATCAAGGTCAATACAAAGGTTCAGTACTCAGCAAAGCCACTAGTAGAGATTATTGGCTGGGAGGGCTAGGGCTGACCTGGTTGTATGTTGCAGCCACTCTCTAAGTATCTGAATCATGTTTCTCAGGACTCCAGAGGCTCTTGCCTTTAGACAACGAGGTCCTTAAACCACAAGGCTGCCAGCTCTTATCATGAAAGTTCCCATTGCCTGGGGACTACGCAGCAGGTCCACCTGTGAGTGATGAATGGAACTGTCTTCCAGGATGGGAGCAAGTGTGGGTGTCCCCGCCAGCACAGCCTCTGGCTCAGTGTGTGTCTGCTGTCCTGAACTGCAGTCTGGCCCAACAGTCAAGACCTTCCCTCGAGTCTGTCATTGGTCCAGCTAAAAACCTACCTTTCATTTCAGCAGATGTCCTCTAGTTGGGGTCCCTGCGAACACAGAGGCAGCTGCCCCCCTTCCCTCTATGTAAATCTTTCACGAATTTCATGGTGAGGATGTTCTTTCCTTTTCCCTGGCCCCAGCCCTTCAGCTCTCCTCACAGGACATACTTTCCATCCCTTTAATCATATTTATTGCCTCCCTTTGGATGCTAGCCCAGTTCACATCCTCTTCGAGGTGCACTGACCTAGCCTGGGCATTCTACCATGAGTGCGGCTTGGGGGAAGCTTGGCTTCCCAGTCCTCACGTGTCATGCAGGCCCCTTTCTACATTCCTGTGTCATGCTGCTGCTTTCCGGAGGCCTGCCCCTGTCCAGGGGACTCCTGTGGAGCAAGGCGACCTGGCCCAGAAAGGGACATATGGGCTGACCCGGATGCCACTACTGAGCCTGGAGAAGCTGTTTCATTCAGAAGCTTGAGGACTTTCTGTACCTGAGGTACACACTCTAGGACAGAAGAGGAGGGACACAGGCCTCCCTCTCCCTGCCATCTCTCCAGGCCCTTGTAAGCCCCGTTTCTCCTTTAGGGGTAGTGCCCTCTTTCTTCCCCCTGACAAGAACTACAATGGAGGGATTTGTCAATGTGATGCTATGCAGCAAAAAGGCAGCAAATGCAAAGCAATTATTTGTCCTCTGGTCAAGGAAGGACAGGTTTGGTCTAACTCTCCCAGCTCTAGTTTCCTTTTGATGTCTAGTAGTTCCGATGCCTAAGCTATTTACTGTCCTCTGTGAATGTTTTCAGACCTGCCAAATCTACTGTCGGGTGACAAGCACTTTGGGTAACCGGCCCCCGCCCCCCCAAGTTATGGCTATCACCTCTCAGCCCTTGCTCCAGGCCTGTGTGCTGAGGAACGGTCAGAGACAATGTCAGCTGCGGCCCATGGGCACTAAATGGCGTGAGGGTAGCACATCTAGTTTTCTGATCCAGGGACGTCAGGCTGTCTCTTATGTTTCTAAGAACATTCTCTGTTCACTTAAGGTAAAACCACCAGCCATCACCTTTATCTAAGAATAAATTCCCCACAGGGGAATACCTCATTTTAATTCCTCAGGCATAAGCCTTCTTGTTCTTTCTCTTTCTTTGGATTTTTATCCAAAAATAATTTATGCATATTCAAGCAAAAAATACACTCCAACTCCGCCTTTTGCACAAATGGCGGACACGACAACACTGTTCTGCACCTGGATTTTTTCACCTACACCACACTGAATACCTTCCCAAATAAGAAAGCCTCGTAAGTGGCAATGCACGTCTTCCTCAGGTGCCGATCTCAGCTGCTTGTTCCTGTCTGCAAGCCAGGAACCTGCAACCTCATCCCTCCTTTCCTGTCCTGTGGCTCTCACTGTCGATTCTGAACTCCACAGAAGGGATGGCTCACGGCTCTGGGCATCGGCAGCATCAGCACCAGCCACTGCTATCAGTGTGTTGCCTGTCATAGAACAGCTGGTTCTCACAGGAACAATTCCCGATGGAAAGAGGAAAGGCAGATGCCAGAGGATTCCTGAGCTCCAGAAGCCTCCTGGAGGCCATGTCCTGGAATGTGTGGCCAGCAGGCCCTGTTCCTTGAGGATGCTCAGAGGTCAGTGGGAAGAACACTTCTGACCCACAAAGTCTGGGGAGCAGCAGTAGGGAGAGTGGTCCTCTGTTGCATCCCTAAGGGACCCACTCCTTCGAGTTCCTGCTGCTCTTGGGAATCCCCAAACAGTAATGAAGCCCACCATGCCACCGACCTCAGCTCATGGGTAGCAGCTGGTGACCAGAAGAGCTCAACACAAGCCAGCACGACATAGCGATAGACACTGGTATGGGCGAGAACACCTGGTGCTCGAGACAGTCTCCCTTACCTTCGATCGTTTCTCCTCCTCCGGAACAGCTTCTTGGTGTGCGCTATCTCCACTTCGTGGGGCATCGGGTGGTAGCCCTGGGATATGGGAGAGAGGGGGCATGAATAACCTCCAAAGAGAGCAGAGGGCATCTGGGACCACATGCACCACAACAGCATTCAGGACAGGAAGATGGGAGAGACTAGGCTCTGACTTCCAAATTCAGATGGGAATTGGAAAATGCTTCCCCAGGGAAGGATGTTGGAATTTCAGACTCAAAAAATGGGGAGCATCAGGGAAACCTCAGAATCCATCTTATCCAAGCTGTCCAACACAAGTGAGGATACTCAGGCCCAGAGACCTGGGAAAGCACATCAACATTTCCAGAGAGGGGGCAGCAGGTTCAGGGTGCCAATGTCCTCCACCTTCCTTTGATTGGGGGCTGAGCCTGTGAAGGGAGACCAGTGGGGCCCTTTCTATGGATCCCCAATTCAGAGGGCTGCTGGTATCCCTCATGGGGACCAGGTATATAGTCACTGGCTATAAGGCAGAGAAAAGGTCTTCCAATTTCTTAATAAAATGGGAATGTTATTACCTTCTGCCTTGTGCTGTTGCGAGGAGATGGAGTCTGCTGTGAGCAGAGGAAAACTGCCTCCTAATCCTAGGCTTAGCTCCCCTGGAAGCATTTACCCAAGATGCTTTCTCTTTATATTGCCTGGGAAGTATTTAGGGAAAACATGCAAATAGCTGAATTCCTTTTTAAACTTCAAAGGAGAGACTGGGGAAAATTCTAAGGATGGTCTTTTGCATATTGTCTTCATGACAACTACTTAGACACTGACATCAGTTGGAAAGAGACCTTCTACTTGGAATGCAGGCCTGATCCAGCAAACGCCAGGCCTGGCAGAATTATCACAGAAGCCGGGCTGATGGCCAATTCTGTTGTTAGCTCCTTCCCACCACCTCCACTCCCAACAGAAAAATGGTAGTGTCATGGCAGAGTATCACCATTCCATTCTAGCATCCCAGAATGGAGCATGGGGTACCTGGGCTTCACCAGGACACAGCCTGTCTGTGACCTGCACTATGACATGCGGCTGTGGGCAGGCACAGATGGAGAGGAGTCTGGGAGCCCAGTCTGCAGCGGAGTGGTCCCTGGGCATGCATTTGGCCCTAGCCCCCACCCAGAGGGCAGGGAGGCTGAGGCCCAGAAGTATCATGTGGATCTGTGAGCTGCAGCCCTGACCCCTGTGTGAGGTGGCAACCCCCCCCATTGGGGTTCCACTGAAAGTACCCCACTGTTCTACCTTCACAAGACTCAGCCCCAACTGGGGGAGGGATGTGGGACATTGGCAGCCCTGGTTTATTTCCCAGAGGGGCAGTGGGAAGATGAGTCAAGAGGGTGCAGAGACCTTGGGGGTGTGGCCCAGATATTGAGGGTCCTGGGAGGGAAAGACACATTCCAAACTACATTTTAATGACAGCCCTTCCCTCCCACCCCATCTTTCTTGCTTCCAACAATCTAGCCAAAAAGGCATGAATGAATTCCAGGCTCCAGGCAGCCGCAACAGGCCTCTGGGGCCTTAGGATGTGCTTTGTTTAATGGTTTTCTCAAAGGATATTATTTGTTTTCTTTAATACAAAACACAAACAAGGAAAAACACCAAGTCTTCCCTTCTCACTTCCTCTCTCCCACCCTGACCAGGCTCTGAGCTGGCCCCCTTCCCTCCTTCCCTTCCTCCCTTCCTCCCTCTCCAGGTCACTTCAGGAACACGCTGGGTGTGCCCTAAGCAGACAATGGACAGGAAGCTGAGGCTCCCTCCCAAGCTGGCAGCAGACTGAGATCTCAGCTCTGAGGTCGGACAGACGGAGCTGCCTGTGGCACTTGGCATAACACGAACTGAAGGTGCCAGCCTCCTCCGGCCAGGCCTCAGAATCCTGGGCTCTGACCCACATCCTGGCCTCTTTCCTCCACACCAGCCACAGCACTGGGGAGCTGCCCTGTGGACGTGACCTCAGCAGGGATTCTAACTTGTCCCCAGGCCTCGGAGGAGATCATCCGGCCACAAGGAACGGTATACTCATCACTCATTTGATTTCTGCCATAAAATGTGACCAGTAAGATAGGGGTGGAAAGGATGGCATGTCCTAGACAACGGCACACAATGACAGGAGTGACTCATAAGGAGTTTGGAAAGGAGCTTCAGTTGGGGGCCCCTAGCGGCCTGGCCTGAGCAGATGGTGCTCTGGCTCTACACCAGAGACCCCCTTCCTGCTTTGCAGATGCAGAGAACGAACCCAGCTTGCCAGAATCATCCTTTGAGTGTCCAGCGGTCCTGCCTCTAATTCCTTTCTTAACAAATCTGGGTGTTCCTTGCTTGGCAGCAGCCTGGCCTGGTTAGGAGCCCTCTCCTTAGTGTGACAGGGACACTCTTCTGGTCTCCCTGCTGGCTCCATGTGTGTGATCACTCTGTGGCAGTCGTGATTCTGTCACCATCTGGTTGGCCACTGGGCCCTCGGGCTTAGCTTTGAATTCTGTGTATGAGTACAGACACCTAGGTGTGGCTGCCCTACTCCCTGTGCCCCGCCTGGTCTCAGCTCTGATCACCTTTCCTAATGAGTGGGGCTATGAGACAAGTACATGATACGAAGTGAGCCTCTCCTCGGAGGGAGGGAGAGTGTTCCTTCCGCACATGCGCACATTCACACACTCCGAGCTGGAGGTCGGTGCAGGTGTAAGATGCTGCAGCAAGGGGCAGCACACTACCGCTCTGGTTACAAAACATGTTATACAAACACAGCCCAGTACAGAGCAGGCTGAGGCTGAAATCTCATGCCCTTGTGCAGGGGGTATTTTGGAGGGATCAAGGGCTTGTCTAGCAGAGCTCTGACCTCAGAACTTCAGCCCAGCCCAACAGTTAATAATCCCAGACAGGGAGTGGAGCGGCCTTGCCCTGAGATGGCAGATAGAAAAAATAAACCTTAGGCCTGCAGGTGGCAGGAGAGGAAGCAAAGCAAAAGCACCTGCAGAGATCAGGTGTGCTGGTGACTCTAAGGCCTGCTGCTACTGTGATGAGAGTGACGAGCCTTTCCTGGCCAACGGGTCCTATCGGCCACCTCGATCTGTACATCCATCCACCTATCCTAACACAACGACCATTCCATTCATCTACCTAGATCCAGCCCAGCCCAGGCCCGGAGAGTATGTGGGAGAGTTCCAACTTCCCTGCGCTCGCAGGACCTCTCCGGACCAAAACTCAGGAATGCCGCATGAGTGAGACCCTCTACTGCACCCTCGGGACCCCTCCATCCCTCTGTAGCCCTCTCCCCCAAGCCTGTCGAGTGAGTGAGAGCTTCTGTGATGCTCTCGGGACCTCCAGATCCAGCCCAAGCCCAGGCCCGGCTAGTGTGTGGGAGAGCTTCTGCATTCCCCTGTACCCCGTGGGGCAAGGGCACAACAGAAGGGCACCACAGGTTCACTTCCAAGGGTTGCAGCAGGAAGGAGCTGAACACAACAGCTAGACCCAAGGCAGGCATAACTGGATAAACTCAAACTTAAGAGATCTGCACCCGAATTTCAGTAGGTGCCAAGGTTATAAATACACCGAAGCTCTACACCAAAGGGCAGAGGTCAGTGCTATACAAAATGACAAAGACAAGGAGCAAAATGCAATCTCAAGCCTCAAGCCCACCCAGAACAAGTACAGAGGACACTAGCTCAGCTGAAAAGAATGAATGAACAGCGTTGGAAGTAAAGAAACAACAGCAGAAAGGTATAGAGGAACTCAGAGCAGAATCAATTTCTGAAATAAAAAAAAAAATCTCTGAATTCATAGCATCTGAAGTAAAGAATTAAATATAGAAACATATGGGGGAAACCCAATGCCCACCCAGAACAAGTGCAGAGGATGCTAGCTCAGCTGAAATATATGAATTAACAGCGTTGGAAGTAAAGAAACAACAGCAGAAAGGTATAGAGGAACTCAGAGCAGAATTAATTTCTGAAATAAAAAAAGAAATCTTAGCATCTGAAATAAAGAATCAAATACAGAAACATGGAGGAAACCCAATCTGAAAGAAACTCTGCAGGAAAAGAATTAATAACTGCTTCTAAAGAAGACATTGACAAAAGGAGGAGATAAGAAAAATGATGGATTCCTTGAATGAGCAATACAGGAAAGAAAATAGATTGCATGAAGCAGAGTCAAAGAGATATAGAGGAACTTAAAATCTCAATCACAAGCCCCGCAAAACCGTTTGAGTGAAAGGGAAGACAGAGTTTCAGATCTTGAAGACTCTGGTGCAGCTAGTGAAAAGGTAAGAAAGGAGCTCTTAAAAACAATTAGGATGCTGGAAAAAATAATCAAGATGATGCAAAGATGAACAATGTGAGACTAATAGCCATTCATCTACCTATCCTATAAATATGCATTAAGGCATCATGCATATGGTACTGTAAAAAAACAGGCAAAATGCTTGTTCTTGGGGTGTACACTCAGGAAAGGAGACAGCTGACAAATATGTATGTGATAAATGGGATTGTTGTGCTATGAAGTGAAATAGCCATGGCAGGAGGATGAGGGAAGGAGAGGTGAGGTGGTGCGGGGTAGTCCCGGAGACCCTTCTGCTCACAGGAATAGTTAGCAGCCATCCATCTAGTTATACACCCATCTTTCTACCTTTGGCTGTTCTTCACTCAACAAACACTGGAGGCCTACTGTGTGCCAGTGCACCAGCTGGATAACACCAGGATGAAGAAAAACCTCCAGGAGGGACAGAAGGAAAGTAATGGAGAAGCTGAAGTGGCATGTGCCAGGGTAGGAGTTGAGCAGCCCAGAAGAAGGACCGGGACTTGGGGTGGGGGAAGAGTCCAGGAACCCACTGCCTAGGGAGTGATACCTAAGCTAAGCCCACAGGTCTTCAACAGAGAGGAAGGGAGAACATGTTCCAATCTCTACTCACTAGCGAGGATGCTAGTGTCATGGCCACGTGTGGGCATGTGCCTGGCACCAGCAAGGTGAGGGAGGCGCCTGCGCTTGGGGATCAGCACTGGGGCTCCTGAACACAGTGTCTGGCATGGGAGATCTGCACAGTCCTC